CCCCCATGAACCGCACTCACGCATTCCACAATTCGGTAAACAGCAGTTCCGGTTGACAGTTCCGAAAGACCCTTCCCTCATGAACCCTACCAACTCGCTGCCCTAGTTATTGTCAAGACTCCCCCCAGGGCCCTGGTTTGCACAACCAGTCTTCCTACCCTCTCCAGGCTATAAAAAGCCCTCTACCTCTCCCTCAGCGCGCGACTTCCTCGGCCCATCGCCTTGGAACCGAGGAACCTCGCCAGCGAGTCCTGAATAGAAGGCTATCTCCACTGGCCCATTTGCCTTGTGTCTTCGTTCCCGGTTCGGCTCCAGCCTCAGTTTACCCTTACACTAATTAAGTACGGTTTTAATCAGAGACAGAATAGGTGCCTTAAAGGAATGCAGTAACTGAATGGTCGTTTTCCTGCTTATGGGACAATATCAAGACTAAAATTTGACTACAGAAGACATTTTACTTCTTAACTGCTAAAGGCAGAACGTTCCTGCTCACAGAAGTAGCTTAGAGCCTGATTTCTAGTGGTGCGAAAGGAAGCTCAGTGTTACTGTAAAAAATGTGCCTCATGAAGAGGATTTCTATTTTCACTAGGTGGTGATGTTGGCTTAGAAATACCATGAGCTCACCAGCGCTGCTGATCTTTCCTAACAGACCTGTTGCCCTGAACTGTAAAAATTCTTGCACATTTGACACACAGAGACAGTAAGAGACCCTGGATAGAGAAAGAAGGAAAGTTTGGTGACAGGATAGCAGGAAAAGAGCCTTGAGATTAAAGGACAGATTTGAGGTTGAAGTTCACTCCATACTCACCACTCCGATAAATGAATCCCCGCCCAATACACCAAAATGATACCACCTCAACGAATGGAGGAACACCTGGGTCCTTGGTCTCGCGCTGATGTAGATAAACGACACAGATACACGTGGAGTGGTTTTAAAGAGCAGAGAGTTTAATAGGCAGGAAAGAAGGAAGAAGCTCCCCCATACAGACACAGAGGGAGGGGGTTCCAAACGGAAAAAGAAAACCCCATGTGTGGCGGAAAAGTAGTTGTTTACATTGGGAGGCTAGAGGAGGTGCTGATTTGCATAGGGCCCAGGGGATTTGTTTGACCAGGTGTGTCATTTATGTAGCCTGGGAAAAACCTGGCCCTCCCACCATAGCCTTTTAATATGCAAATGTGGACCACCACGATATCCTGCACATGCAGAGTTATCTGGAGGTGACCATGACACCTGGCACATATGGTGACAAGGAGGAGAGGGCGGGAATGGCCATATTGGTTGGACCTAGTTTCTAATCACCAGCATTCGTATGTCAATACTTGCTGGCCTGGTTTTTGCAAGCCGCCTTTCTGTTAGAAAAGAAGTGTTTCCGGAGCTGTTTCTATTAAAAGAAAAAGCCTTACTGAGAACTCCTTTAACTCTCTCTATCTGCCTAAAATTATTTCTTAATAACACTGGTTTTTTTTGGTTTTTTTTGAGACAGATCCTTGCTCTGTCGCCCAGACCAGAGTGCAGTGGCGCAATCTCGGCTCACTGCAACCTTCACCTCCCAGGTTCAGTCAATTCTCCTGCCTCAGTCTCCCTAGTAGCTGGGATTACAGATGCATGCCACCACACCCAGCTAATTTTTGTATTTTTAGTAGAGATGGGGTTTCACCATGTTGGCCAGGCTGGTCTTGAACTCCTGACCTCAAGTGAACCACCCGCCTTGGCCTCCCAAAGTGCTGGGATTACAGGCATGAGCCACCATGCTCGGCCAATAACTCCTGTATTAAAATGAACTCATGAGAGGTGCTCAATAGTAGATCTGAGCTGGCAGAAGACTCGGCAAACTTAGATATAACAGATTTTGCAATCTGAAGTTTAAACCAGAAATAAGATCTTAAGCCCTCCAACTGACTGTATGGCCCCCCTTCTTGGCCAAGGGGACCCCAGAGCAACCTGAAAAACTAAATTACAGGCCATGATGGGAAGGGAGGTCAGACATGCCTCGTTATAACCCCTTCCTTTTGGAGTTTAGGCAAAACTGGCCGGAATTAATAAAATAGAGATAATAAGACTGACAGAACAGACTCTTTGGCAATAAGATACCAAATATCGACCTGACTCTGGTATAGCATCACATGAAAGATAGTAGACCCTGAAGAAAATAAAAATATTTTACCCCAAAATGTGTGGTTTTTTTTTTTTTGACATGTTTTGAAATGGCCCTGCAAAGCCATCTTTGGTGGAGGAAATTTTGCATGTGTAGAGACTCCCCATTAATACAGCTAGGCCTTTCCTGAATCTAGGAAAGATTAGGAGTCTGACACCTTTTAAGGTCTGAAAAGAGATATTTACCATCTATTCCCTCTGAAGCCTGCTACCTGGGGGCTTCATATACATAATAAGAACCTTGGTTTCCACAACTCCCCTTATCTTAACTCAATCATTTTATTTTTCTACTGATGTCAACTCTTTAGCTTAACTCAATCATTTTATTTTTCTACTGATGTCAACTCTTTAGCTTAACTCTTTCAACCAACTGCCAATCAGAAAATCTTTGAATCCATTTATGACCTGTAAGCTGCCCCCCTCAGTCTGAGATGTCCTGTCTTTCTGGGCTAAACCAATGTATACCTTATGTCTTTGCCTGTAACTTCTGTCTCTCTAAAATATATAAAACCAAAACCATAACCTGACTGCCTCAGGTGTACTTTCTCAGGACGTCCTGAGGCTGTTCCCTGGGCCATGGTGACACACTGGCTCAGAATAAACTTATTGAAATATTTTACAGAGTTTTCTTTTTTGTCAGCAATTGATAAAAAAAGTATACTATTTTTAACTTTGCAATAATTGATAGTTTATTGATTTCATTTTGCATCATGGCTGCATAAAGGCATTTGTAACAAGCATTGGTGGTATTCTCCTGATACAATGGAATTCCATCATCAACTTATTTTACAACTTCTTTCACTTGGTTTATAACCAGATATACTGTTGATTTCTTAAGTGAATGCCAAAAACTCTTTACATAATCCCTGAAGGAGTGAGAATTTCTTTAAACTTTTATTTAAAGTTTAGGGGTACATGTGCAGGTTTGTTACATAGGTAAACTTGTGTCCTGGGGGTTTGTTTTACAGATTATTTCATCACCCAGGTATTAAGCCTAAGGGAGGAGACTACCCCTCATATTGTCTTATGTCCAATTTCTGCCTCCAAAGAAAGAAAAAGTAAAAACAAAAAGGCAGAAATGAAATCCACAAGCAGACAGCCCAGCGCCACACCCTGGGCCTGGTAGTTAAAGATAGACCCCTGATCTAATGGGTTATGTTATCTATAGATTACAGACATTGTATAGAAAAGCACTGTGAAAATCCCTAACCTATTTTGTTCCGATCTAATTACCAGTGCATGCAGCCCCCACTCACGTACCCTCTGCTTGCTCAATCGATCATGACCCTCTCACGCGCACCCCCTTAGAGTTGTGAGCCCTTAAAAGGGACAGGAATTGCTCACTCAGAGAGCTCAGCTCTTGAGACAGGAGTCTTGCTGATGCCCCTGGCCGAATAAACCCCTTCCTTCTTTAACTCGGTGTCTGAGGAGTTTTGTCTGCAGCTTGTCCTGCTACAAGCCTAGTACCCATTTGTTATTTTTCCCGATCCTCTCTCTTCTTCCACCCTCCATCCTCTACCCTCCTATAGACCCTTCTGTGTGTTGTTCCCCTCTATGTGTCCATGTGTTCCCACTTATAAGTGAGAACATGCAGTATTTGGTTTTCTGTTCCTGTTTCAGTTTGCCAAGAATAATGGTCTCCAGCTCCATTCATGTCCCTGCAAGGGACATGATCTCGTTCTTTATACTGGATGCATAGTATTCCACTGTATATATGTACCACATTTTCTTTATCCAGTATATCATTAATGGGCATCTAGGTTGATTCCATGTCTTTGCTATTGTGAATAATGCTGCAATGAACATACATGTGCATGTGTCTTTATAATAGAATAATTTATATTCCTTTGGGCATATACCCTGTAATGGGATTGCTGGGTCAAATGATATTTCTGTCTTTAGGTCTCTGAGGCATTTACACAATGGTTGAACTGATTTACACTCCCACCAACAGTGTATAAGCATTCCTTTTTCTCCACCACCTCACCAGCATCTGTTGTTTTTTTTTTTTAACTACAAAAGTACACTTAAATGAAAACTTACAAGAGGTGCTCAACAGTAGATCAGAGCTGGCAGAAGAAAGAATCAGCAAACTTAAAGATATAACAATAGATTTTGCAATCTGAAGAATAGAGACAAGAATAAAGATAAAAGAATGGAGCATCAGAGAAATATGAGACACATGATAAACTCTTGATATCCACAAGAGAAGAAAGCTCATCAATTAAACTATCAATTAAATGTGAATCAATTAAACTATCCAATCAAAAGGCAGAGATTGTCTGGATAGAAAAACAAGATCCAGTTCTACTTACAGTGTCTACAAAAGACATACTTTGCTTTCAAAGATACAAATAGGTTGAAAGTAAAAGGGCAGAAACTGATACGTTATGCAAAAACAGCCATAAGAGATCTGGAGGGGCTATGCTAATATCAGACAAAATAGTTTTTTGGTCAAAAATCTTGATAGCGATAAAAATAGATATAATGATAAAATATCAATCCATTAGGAAAATATAATAATTATAAATGTACACGCATATAACAGAAGAATCCCAAAATACATGAAGCAAGAGAAATGACATAATTGAAGCAATAAATATATGATTTAAAAAAAATAGTTGAGAATTTCAATATCACACATTGAATAATGAATAAAATATCTAGGCAAAATATCAGCAAGGGTATAGAAAACTTGAATAATAATATAAACCAACTAAACAACACATATCTGTAAATAAA